CTGAGAACTGTGGATGTGTACTATCAGTAGTGGGCTAGTAATAGCCACATTAGTAAGGTTTAATATGCATTAATTGGATTTTCACACAGTCAACTTCTCCACGGCAACAACAGCCTAATGCAAGGAATAATGTTCTCTGAAGTGGGAGGAACAACTCTTAATTCACCTGATAAAATTGGCTGTAAATGTATAAAGTAAAAATTAATAGAACTACAGGTGAAAACTAGTAAGTATACAATCAGTGTGAAATGTCAACACATCTCTCTCATTAACTGAAACATCAAGAAAACAAAATGTTAGTAAAGACATGACTTAAATATAATTAATAAGTTTGATTTATCAGCCATTTATGAAGAATCCTATACTTAGTCCCATTCTTCTCAAGTCTATATGGAACAATTATAAAACCTGAAAATGTAACAGGCCAAAAAGAAGTCTCAACAAATTTGAAAAATGGTGTTATTGTAACCAAGAGTTAATTAATTAAGCATTCAACTTTAAAAAGAGTAAATGTCACCAGTACATCTGGAAATTTTAAAACATGTCCAAGTAATCCTGGGTCAAAGGTGAAATCATAATGAAAAATTTGAATACTTAAAATTGAACAATAACAAAAATTTCATTTGTGAAAATTTGTGGAATTCAGCTCCTTATAAGAAAATTACACCACTAAAATTTTAAATGTCTGAAAAAACGTCAACAGAAAAAGTTAGAGAATAGAAGAACAAGGCAAGAAAATAACAAACAGATTCTGAATTTCAGATATGCCCAAACAGATTCTTTCTCAAAGATGAGTAAGATACATAAAGCCCTCGCAAGGCTAAGCTAGAGAACGGAAGGGTGACAGAGGGAGACCATATTAATAACAGGAAAGCTGTGGAAAGCTAAGATGCAGCAAGATTAAAACTATGGTGAAGGAGGGCGCGCTTCGGCAGTACATACACCAGAATTAGAAGATACAGACAAGAGGAGAAAAGGAAGAAAAGTAGCTAGCAAACTGGAAATAAAAGGCAACTTTCCCCTTGGTACAGTAAACACATTATGTCCAATAGTGAACTATCACTATTACCATTAAAGCCATTTTCCTTTAAAACCAGAAAGCAAGATGGGGTGGCCATTATTACCACTCCTACAGACACAGTGACGCAAGGAAAAAGGAAATGACACGTGAGAAGATTGTGTCTGGGTATGGACCTGCAGCATGATCTTGACTTGGAGTTAAAAATACTTTTAGCCTCATTTGTAGGCACACATGAACCAATAGGGCCTAGCCACCTTCTCACATGGAATTTAGACTTATCTATTCTAGAAGAGGAAGTGAAATGGTAAACAAACATGAAAAACTACACAACCTCACAATGAAAATTCCAACCGTGATTCTACTTCAAACACACCCAGTTATCAAAACTGGAAAAGTGGATGTGAGAAAGGCAAGTGACGAGGCTGGGAGCAGTGGGGAATTCTCATACGCTGGTCTTAGAAATGGAGGGCATCACTTGGCAAAGAGTAACGTATTACATATTTTCCTCCTGAGTAATGCCCTGGAGAATCTTTCAACGTGTGCCTCTAGAGACAGATGAGAGCTCGCATGGCAACACTGCTTTTAGAGCAAACTTTCTTTTAAAGAAAGTTCCTATTAACCAGACAACCATGGGCATGAGTATAACGATATGTATTACAGAAGGTGGGTAAGTCATGGCCTTCCATCCACAAGGGTGGGGGATGAAACATATCCCAGACAAGACAAACTGAAATATTTTCACATGTTCCTTGTGTTTTAGAAACACAGACACGTGAAGTAAAAATATTAAACAAGAAAGTTAATAGACATTCATACAGTGGTTTCCTCTGGGTACAGGGAGAGACCAAATGAACTCCTTACTGGTAACGTTCTGTGTTTTGGGCAGTACTGGGATTTGAAATCAGGGCCTTGCATTGCCACCACTTGAGCCATGCCTCCAGCCAGCCTTTCTGCTTTAGTTATTTTTCAGATAAGGTCTCATGCTTTTTGCCCTGGCCAGCCTTAGATCTTGATCCTCCTAGCTCAACCCCCCAAGAAAAGGGATTACAGGCATGGGTCACCACTCCTGCCTTAATATTCCAGTTCTTAACCTATATCTACATTAATTTAAACAAAATTTGGTTCCTCAGGTGGTACTGAACTTACCATTGTAGAAGTCTGATATTTTAAGAAATACGTTCACTTAAGTGAGGTATCTGGAGAGAAGACAAGTATCACAGAAGAGATGTGACTTGGTTTCCCCTACAGGTGTCTGTCAATAGTAAGACAATAATTCTATTTTTACTGTAGTGAACAGCACAATGTACATGTGGTGCTGGGCACAGATGTGGTTTCTAGGAGGCTGCTGCTATGATGCCACCATTAGAAAAGTGAGCCTCAAAATCAAGCCCCTTGGTCCATGATGGCCACACTGTGGCAATCAGTTGAAGCTGGAGCCTGGCATCTCAACCTGCTGGCACCAATGTCACCTTGCTGCTTCTATGTCCCTGCTGCTCACACCTTCCACTGAAGCCACATTAAGTGACACACTTACCATGCACACAGGGTGGCTCACATAATCCCTGCACCAATTTCAGCTCAACATCAATACTGTGCCCATCTTATAGATGACAAAAGAATGTAAAGGATGAAAATGAGTCACTCAAAGTCACACATATCCTAAGGGGGCAAATTCTGGGGAATCTGATTCCCAAATCCCTGGATTCACATTATATGCACTGCTGCGCTACAGTGCGTATCAGTAACTGACATTCAAGGCTGTTGAAACTACTTCACAACCCCCAGTATCAAATATGGGTCTCCCCAACTCCCCTGTAGCTAAAGTTCTAAATTCAGTTCATCTTCTGCCAGTGAGATGAGCTCATGCGGAACTTAGACAACCAGAAAAAAAATACAGGGCCCGTCCCCGGACTGTGAGGGCCAAAGAGAAAATTCCAGAACTTACACACCAGAAAAAAATACAGGGCCCATCCCTTGGACTGTGAGGGTCAAAGAGAAAATTCCAACAGATGTGAGTGCTTTCCGCGAACCCCATGTTCCACTGTCTGGTCACACTTCCAAGTGTGGCCTGTGGTGGCTGGTGTCACAGGGCTGCCAACAGCAGAAGCAGTTTCTTTGCCTCTGAGTTAACACTGGGATTATTCAACCTTGAAATCAATAGTCCAAGGGCAATGTCTACACTATACTCCTGTGGACTTTCCAAATATTTTATTCCTATGATAACTCCCTGAAGTAACTAAAATTATTAGCATTTACTGAACTGATAAACCTTGAAGTCAAAAAATAAACAGAAAGCTTGGTGGACTTCAATTCATCTCAAGCTCCTAGAAAATTAGTTATATAACCCACATGTGATTCAATTTTATCTTTAGCATATTCTCAAACCACCTGTTTCTCTTCTTTCTTACATAAATCCCCAAAGCCCATGAAACTTCTAAGAGGAGGCCATTCAGATCCGTCATGCTATGTAGAGGCTCTTTCATCTATTTTCCTTCTATGCCTGGGAAACACAGACTAGTGCATGTATCCTTCATGGAAGACCTCATCTCAACTCTTAGGAAATATTTCCTCTTTTGAAACTTTTACAAAGAATACAATGCATTCTCCTAAGATTTAGAGATGTTTTAAATTTTTTTAAAAAAAGAATTAGACTTTCTTGAAGAGGAAGCAACACCACGCTACCTGGAAAACATAGTAAGATATGTACTTTCAAAAGGAAAAGGTGTTATAACTCAGGAAAGCATAATACACTCATTCATTAAATATCAAACCAGAAAGTATAATCTCACATTAAAGAACTCGCAGTCATTTTCCAAAAGAGCTGGGTTCAAATTTCAGTTGAGTCAGAGCTGACCAACACTGAGAAAGTCCTTGGGTTTGCTGAACTTCCATCTATTTAGTCTTAGAAATATGACATTTATAACTGTCTCCAAAGTTGTAATATTTAAAAAGAAATTCCACAGATGAAATTGCCTGCTCCAAGATGTGGGGTGCAGCAAGTACTAATGCTAAGTTCTCACTTATTTCTTAATTCACACTTATTATTTCTTAATTCTCATTTATTTCTTAAATATGTTATGTAAGAACACTATCGCCCACTTCTCCTCAAATAAAACAATTTCCATGGAGTAGAAATCCTAATCTACTAACACATTACAAAGTCACAGGAAAAGTGCCGAAAAGATAAGGTAAAAAGTTTCTTACATATAACGGCAATTAGTCCTGAGACAAGTTAAGACGTACCCACCATTTCAACTCCCCTTTAGAACTATCAGCATGGTGTTTACTTTGCTATCTCCTACTCTGTCTTCACTCGTCACTCCAAAATATTGTGAGTAACCCCCCCAAAAAAACCAAAAACTGGGGCAGGTAAGTCAATCTACATAGTTTATATTCCTTCAGGTTAAAAACAAGTAAAGCACTAGACAGACACTTGAGAAACTTTACAGATCATTGATTGTGATGTCTGCACTGATCAGTTCTTATTTCAGTGTTACTGCTACAACACTCTTTAGAAAGAAAAAAGTCATGTTTTTAATAAAATGGGAAAAGAACTGATTAACCCACTAAAAGCTACAACCAATGCAACAGATGCCCAGATGACCCTCTTACTGTACTCTACAGTGGGTTATAAAGTCTTGGTACACATTGACAGTAACACTTACTGCCTTCCCATCCAGACAGTTTATATGGAATCTAAGGGTGTGCCACAATGAAAGCAGTGACTGATGGGTTGGCAGGAAGTGGCCACAGTAAACAATGACAACAAGACTTCCCTTCCCAAGTCCACCCCTTTCCCCTGCTACTGCCGGACTACTGGATGACAGCATTGGCAGTGGGACTAGAAGGGAAGAAAGTCGGAAAGTGAGGGCAAGAGATACGAGCAGGACATGAGCTGAACAAGGGCAGGGCTGTTACACAGATGACACCGACTTACACTACTGTTTGGGTCATTTCAAAACAGACCTTGGAAACGCACCTCACTTGGCTCATCACCACCTTTCACCTGGCTTTCACCCATCTCTCCATTCTCATAGCTGCTGCTTTTCTCCACCCACAACTCGGATTTTTCGACAGTTAGTCGGAGCTGGTCTAGATCCGCCTTGATTTGCTTGTAATTGTCTACGTCTTGATTGGACACCAGTAACTGCACCTGAACACAGAAGAATTTCAGTCCTTAATGTATCCATGCAGCTTCCTTCGCTCCCAGCTCCTTCATAGCTAAAACCCTGGTCTTTAAAACATCTTTTAGGTAAAGTTCCATATTTCTAGACCATTTATGAATATTTTAGGTGTATCTTGACAGCGAAACTTACCTTGAGTATCTGTGAATTCTAATCAATATATTCACATATTAAAAATGTGTACAAACATTTCAAAGTGCCAAAGAGTAACATAATTCAACTCTAATTTCACTGCTCATGTTAATTTTTCTGAGATTTTCCCTATAAATCTTTTGGAAATGAGGTAGAAAAATAAAAATAAATGGAAGAAAATATTGATGAATACAACCTAAATTTCATAAAATAAATTTGATCTTGTTATCGTTTGTATTATATGACATGCATACATGTGATACTAAATGCATTTGTGAGACTTTCTTGTAATTTTTTCATATTCTTTAGCATATTCTTGTAAAACTTTTCTAGTAAAGATCAATGTGCCATTAAATACAATAAATGTCAGTGAAACATACATAAGCACTTATGTATCACTAATGATCACAAGATTGATGTCTTATTCAAAGAGCACAAAAAGATTAGATCCATAACAATTCCTTTGCCTTGGATTTGTGCATTTTTCAATCACAAAATATTTATTTCAGAGGTATTGCTTGTCCTACCCAAATGTGTCAGTAAATTTTGGGTCAAGATAACACCAATAGCAACAAAACTCCTAATATGTTATTATCCCCAATGTCTTCCTAAATCTTAGTCCCTGTCATTTTTATTAAAGATATTAACTGAAAATCACTTGTGGGGAACTCTTTCTTAAATTGATCATATCTCAGCATAGACAAGGCTGCATCTATCTTCAAAACCAGAAGTGTTCCCAGGAAAATCTATACAGTCTCATTAACTCTGCAACCAAGAAGTGAGGGAGGACATTACAAACAGCACATTCAGAGCACTGTCTATGGAACCACTGACAGGAACTCAAATATTATCTATTTTTTTCTTTTCTGAAGTGCTGGGGATCGAACTCAGGGTCTTGCATATGCTACGCAAGCCTTCGCCCACTGAGCTCCACTCCACCCCAACCTTACCTGTTTAAATGCTTGTAAAACCTCGGCTCTCTGACTGAAGTGTTTGAACAGGAGCTGCAGGGCTCCCGACAGCAGAGGGGCGTAGTCATGCATGATTAAGTGAATGAGGACTCGCAGGAAGGTCCTGCCTCCTTCATCATCCAGCTGGACTGGGTTTTTTTCCTTTCTATAAGCCAAAAATGATAGTTAAGTAACATTTCTATAACATCGATACAACAGAGATTTGATTTGTAGCTCTGTTTTGTTAGTTATAATTCGTGTTCTCAAGTCATGAAGTGAAAGGGTAGAAATTTTCTTTTGTCTAACTCACTACATGACAGGTGAGAAGGGACTGGAGAGGGGCAGTCCACAGGTACATTGTCACAGCCAGAGAAACTCTCCATGTTTTCATAATGGAACCCACTACAGTGAATGGTTTATCTACAGACATGAGCAGGTAATGAAAGCGCTGCACTCTGAGAAGTGTATCTTGGTTAGTTGGTCAATGAGCAAGCATAATTATAGACTGTATTTACCCAATCCTAGGTGGTACAGCCTACCGCATATGGTATACGCATGTGCATACAGTATACTGCTGTATGTTATAAGCCTACTGGTCCTGTGGTGCCATGTTACAGCAGTCTAAGTCAAGCACAAGAGAAAATGAAGATACAAAGTGTATTAGGCTTTTGCTGATTTTAACACAGCATGCTGTTTTACAGTGGACGCTTTTTAATAAGTAAGAATACACTCTAAAATAACAATACAACGGTGCAGTAAATACATGGACCAGTAGCAGCTGTTTCTTATCATCATCGGGTACTCTGTAGTGAACCTAGTCATCTGTGCCATGCTTTAACACAGCTGGCAGCACAGGGGTTTCTTCACACCCTCATCATAGTGAGCATTGTGCTCAGTGGTATATGGCTATGGCATCACTAGTCCTTAGGAACCTTTCAGGTTCAGTTTAATTTTACAGGGATGCTACTGTACGCGTGGTCCATCGTTGACCAAAGCATCATCCCACAGCACATGACGTACTAAGCTGAAATCATATGCCGGTTCATGCTTCCTTCCAAGGACTAATGAAGTGCTTCAGACGGAAACACAACAAAAGCTAACCTACAGTACAAAAACAACGCCAAACCAAATGTTCGCCACAGATAAAAGTCTTTTTTTGCTGTTCCCTTAATTCTTTTTCTTATGCCCAAGACAGGGTCTTGCTATGTAGCCTAGGCTGGCTTCAAACTCAAGATCTTCCTTCCTCAGCCTCCTGAGTACCAGGATGACACCTTGTGTCTTAATTCTTAATTCTTGCTTAGCCTTCTAAAAACAAATGTGAAAAAAAATAGACTTATCACCTTCTCATGGGATGTCTGCAACAATAAGTGACACTACAATCGCTAATTTTAGCGTATTTTATTTTTATTTTGATTGGTATTATTTCATTTCTGAAAAAGAAAAAATTTCAAAGCAACAAATGCAAGGGCACCTGTGGCAAAAGGAGGCAGCATGCCAAGGGCATCTCACTTTCTTTAACCATGAATAGTTCCAATTAGCAGAAAATAGCTTTATTTCTCACAAATAAAGGTAATGATAACATTAAAAGCAGTTACTATCTTATCTCAAATACCTACAATTCAGGGAAGCAATGTGTTAGGAGCAGTGATTTTTGTATCAAGGAGTTAAAGGGCATCTTGTGCTATCTTTCTTTGAGGGAAGAAAAGTAGAGAATTGAGGGGAAAATTCAATACACTGATCTCATCTCTCTTGTTCCTCTTCACTGCCCTAAAGAAAAACCATGCTTTCCCCTCTAGAGTAAATTAGCAGCTTCCTTTTGGGCAGAAATTATGTTAGCAACAACAGAGGCTCTAAGAATAAATAGCATGGAAAGGTGAGCAGAAACTCAGTATCAACAGAATTCCAGTTAAAATCTTAATACCAGGCGGGATGAGACAGCAGGTGTTACCGTACCTTCCCGCAAACATGGTTTCTGCTTGAGCTGCGATTTCATCTATGTCAGGAACAATGGCTGCAAAGATAGGAGGTGAAACCTGTCATTGTCATCAGGAGCCACGATGTTCATGTTACTACTCCCTTATGTGAAAATGCCTTGCCTGAGTGTCTTAGTGCTTCCAAATATCAATTGAAAGTATAGAAAATTATAATACAATGTTAATTAGACATAGCATTTTATTGTTTTACTTATTTATTTAGGTTCTGGGGACTGAAACTAGGACCTCACATATACTAAATGTCCATTTTTAAGGTCCTTGTTATTCTATTAAACTAATTACTACTGTAGTCAGAGATGTATGTAAAAGATAAGAAATCATCATTTAAATAGAGGCCTATAATCTATAAGTGTGTGCATAAATGTGACATATCAAATATATGTGTATATACATACATGCAACTTAAACTGCTAATGCCATGGAAGGAAATATTATATATACAATATAATATATAATTATAAACATATACCTATGTTCTTTTTGTTTTGTTTCTTTCAGTATGGTGCTGGGGATTGAACTCAGGTCCTTGCACTTGCTCGGCAGGTGCTCTACCTCTTGAGCATACCTGCAGTCTTTTTGCTTTAGTTTGTTTTTCAGATAGGATCTCATGCTTTTTTGCCTGGTTGAAGCCTCAGACCATGGTCCTCCCATCTCTGCTTGGATTCCAGGTGTGCCCAGCCAGAAGGATAATTACTTAAAGAGTCAAAATATAACAAGCCATGGTACTGTACTGTACCTTCAAAAATGTTTCTTTTTTCCCCATGTAAGCTTACTACTTGAAAAATTCCATCTCTTCTCCAGTATAACAGGTGGTTTTTCTATGTGAACCAGTAGATTCCTCACTATCCCAACCACTGGCACTTTGAAGCTATCTTTATTGAGATAACATGTTTAAATGATAAATATATAATTCGTTTCTCATCTCCAAAAGCATAAAAAGAAAAAAGAGAAAGCTACAAAAAAGAAAAGCAGGTCTTCCCAGAAGGAATCACTTACAATACACACAGGGAAAGGAATGGGGTCAATCAGAGAGAAAGGGTTTTCTGGGGTCCCCTAGACCTTCCCTCTGGAACTTTACTGACATATAGAGTTCATGGTTCCAGAAGCCTGGCTTCTGGAAGCCAATAATTGCTATGCTCCGTCAATTGTGACAGCCAGCACGCTTTCTGGTTTTGCCTTCTCATTCCCGGAAATAGCATTTTGGGGTTCTGCTCTTCTGGGAAGCAGAAAAACACTGCTGCAAAGTGACATTTTTAGGAAAGCCATCTCCATCTTCAGGAGCACCTGCCTTTGGGAAGTTGCTAAGGATTTGGGCACAGACATCAGGGCATTGTTCCATACCAATTTTAACTACACACTTGCAATTGCTGTCAAACTGACTGAGGGACAATAAGGAAGACAGGTTCTAACATTGTCACTGTGGTTGTAGTTAGAAGAATCTTTTCTATCTGTGTGCAAATCCTACACTCAGAAAAAGCATCCTATTAACTGCTTAACAGTCTGGCATACCTATCCTGACCTATGTGAAACAAATGGTAATTAGTATTTCTGGGTTTTCATAAAGTCCTTTCTATAATCACAAAAACTGCACAATCATTTTGTGCTCTTTTGTTGCTATGCTCCAAGTCTCAAAGGTTGATTCCATTCTTATACTTTTATAAATATGAGAGTTGAAATAAAATTCCAGTTTATAACTGTACAAAGTAAAAAAACACAAAACCAAAGCAACAACTATATTCAGGCCTTTGGAGAATGTCATGTTTTATTCTTGAGTCAGCTTATAGCTTCCCTACAAAACAACTTTCTTTCTTTTTGTGTTTTATTTTGTGATACCGGGCTTTGAACTCAGGCTCTACCACATGAGCTACACCAGAGCCTCTTTGCTTTAGTTGTTTTTCAAATAAGATCTTGGGTTTTTTGCCAAGGCTGACCTGGACCACAATCCTATTTATGCCTCCTGCATAGCTGTGTTAACACAAACCTTTTTTGCCAGGATTGAACTGCAATCTTTCCCATCTCTGCTTTCCAAATACCAGCACACCAAGTTTTGTTTGGTTTTTTTAATATATATATATACTGTATATATACTGGGTTGGACTTGAACTTGTGATCCCCCTTCCACAGCCTCCTGAATGCTGGGATTTCCCAAGAGCCAATTTTTCACTTGGATTTTCACCAAAATAGCAAAATGCTTAAGAAAATCATACTGGAATCTTTGTTCCATGACTTGCATGACCTTTAGCAAGTAACCTCTCCCTTCTCCCCTTGATTTTCTCCATCAAAGGCACAATAATTGGAACTTGTACATCACTGAGTTGTGATGATTACAAAGGATGAGGTATTTATAGGATTTAGCACCAAATAACAATAAATATCCTCATGTCTTTCCAGGCAACCTATTTCAGTGATCTGTCTTGGCTCACTCTTGTCACTGGTAGAGATTATGTCTACATTTTCTCTCATAGAAATACTATCATGTTTTAAAATACAAAACACAAGAAATTTCAAGTAGCTTAGAGGCACAGTAGGCCAGGAACAAATGACATCACAGAGAAGGTACCTGATGGTAGCAAAGAATCTGGAGAGCCGTTGACAGATGTGTCAGCACTATCCTCTCCAAACTCCTTCTTGTATATCGACAACATATACGAGATCCTATAGTCCAGTCTGACACTCAGGATGAACTAGGCAAAACATGCAAAATGACAACATTTTCTATTAATTGGCATAGTGTTAAAAATGCAGTTCAGTACACAACACAGCTGTCAACATTTCAAATGAACTAGTATAAAGATGCACAAACCCTTAATGTTCAGTCATCTGCATGTTTATCAGCTTAAGACCACAGAAAAGGATGCATTTCCATTAGCAGTGTTTATAAAATCCAACAACAGTTTTTGAAAACAAGGAAATTTGTCCCTACATGATTGCTCCCAGTGCGCTATGGATAATGAGGTAATGATGGTGTAATTCCACTGAACACTTCGCAGAGTTTTCATTGGCTGTGAGGGGAGAATGCCAAAGTGAGGTCCTCTTTCTTACACAAATAGGTTGAGATTTCAGCTCTGATAGAGTTGATTCCCGCTGTCCCTCAATCAGTCCTAAAGCCAGGCTCTAAGGGACCAGGTGAAATAATTGCACACATATGCAGTGGATTTCCCCATTGGTCTTTGGGTGGTCATCATTATTCTATTAACTGATGCATCAATAGCAGTTAAGTACCCAGCAAAGCTCCAGTCTGTGCTCAGTGGTTTGGGGAATGCAAACCCTTGAAGCCCACTGTGACAGCCAATGAGTGGTTGGGAAAAGGAGTTACACAAGATCAGAAAGTTATGGAGGGCTAAGCCACGAGCCACAAATGCTGTGGAGGTCAGAGAAGGGGAAAAAGTCAGGCTATACCACAGTCTGTAGGAGAGTTTTTCAGTTACCTTCCATCCCAGCTTAACCTTTGGTCTCAGCATAATTATTAAGTGTCCCCTGCACTTTCAAGAGTCCCCTTGAGATAGTACACACATGGTAACCCAAGTTTTAGGAAAATAGGCATTTAATTGAACCACTGTATCTTATCTCACTGCCTATGACACAGGCCATCCTTGGATCACACTCCTCCCTCCCTTTCTCCCCATGCCCCAGGCTTTCCTCCCACTGTCAGACTTCTCTGTGCTGTGGGCACTGGGAAGCCTGCAATTTCTCACTGTACTTTCACAGTTGTTCACAGAGTCTACTTCACCTGGAACATTCTAGTCCTCCACTCCGTAATAAGTCTTTTTTGAGATATCCTCCCAGGTTTCATTTAAAATGAAGCTTTCACTGGTCCCCCAGCCAAAATTAGAATCTTCCTCTCTCTTTCTTCTCTCCCTCCATAGTCTCTTCTCCCCTTTTCTGTCTTCCACTCCCTTCCCCTCTTCCTCCTTCTTCTCCCTTCCCCCCTTTCCACATCTTTATTCTCCGTTGGCACAGAGAATATGCTCCACATTAGCCATTCTCAGTCAAATTCACCAAAATCAGTTAAGCCAAACTCTGAGGAAGGTGCTTGGGATATTAAAAAAAACTGTGCCATAGATACAAGTCTTGCTTTTGAAAAGTTTATTTCTATAGGGAAAAAGAAACACACAGGAACTCTTTTATTAATGCGCAGTGAGTGCTGTAACACATACTGAGTGAGGTCTTTCTAGTAAAGAGGGATTTTCATAGTGGAGGCAGATTGTGGCACAGCCAAAAGAACTCTCAGGTTTGGCTGCCTGGAGAAGGAGGGTGGGAACAGAAGTTTAGCTGCAGGTGCTCAACAAATAAATATTTTTAAAACTCCTATGTAAAAAGGTAAATATCAAAAACAAAATGTGAAACACTCATTTTTAGTTGAAGATTAATACCTATGAAGTTTGATTTCATAAATATAACCAAAATAACAACTTTCATTTTCTGTATCCAACTATGAAAAATAAATAAAAGGTATAAGGAGGAAAAATAAGAAAAAAAACAAAGCCAGCAAAAGAGTTTAGAGGAGAGAGGAAGGGAGGGAGGGGGGGAGAGAGAGAGAGCATGAGCAGGACTGGAAAAGAGAGAGACATTAAAACATAAGGGGACAAAAAAAAACAGAGGGACCCTGAGAGAGAGGAGCTGGCAGAAAGTGCAGCGCTGCCAGGACATGGCTACAGAGAAATTCTTGAGCAGCTGTTCCAGAAGGGGCACATGCTCAGAAGCATCACACAGGCTCAGGGACACTGACCAGACACAGAGACACAGCTATCACAGAGCAGACAGGCGTTCAAGGAAAACTCATCAAGTGCCAAAAAAAAGGCAGTAAAAAGGGATCTGCCCTGGACCTCAGCAAGTCGCCTGCAAGAGGGTCTGCTTTTCTGAAACTGCCGCTACGATGAGGTCGCACATTGCAGAGGTCAGCCCCTGAGCTGGAGGCTGTTATGCTGGGTGCTCATTAGGTCTCTGGGTCAGGGGATCGCCCTCTTTCTCAGCTGAGGAATAGGGAAACCTTAAATGATTTTTCAGGGCCATGAACACACAATTGGGAGGCCTGCCAACATTTCTCAGGATTCAGCCTTCAGAATTCCTGGAGGAATGGTGAAACCTTTTGTGACTGTAAATCTAATTTCTTTAAAGGAAAAATGTACAGACCCTTCCAGGACTGGTGACCCACTTCTGGTAGCTCAGTCTACATTAAATTATGATAAAAGACTTAGTAAAATATATCCAGAATCAAGAGATTCTTGAAAACTCCAGGCTCCATTCTCCAAATGTGGAATAAATGCCATAATTAAGGTATTATCAAACTGCTTTCCAAACTTATCAAAAAAAAAAGTGCTAGGAATTCACAACTACTATAATAGGAAGCACAGGGAGTTTAAATTCATAAAGCTAGGTATTACACTAGGCTAACTGTTAATCCCTGAGGAAAAAAAACAGAGAGATAGTCATTTATGAAATTTAAAACCAAGGATTAACAATTTGAGTTTCTAACAAGAAATCTATACACATGGAATCATATGTTCTATTAAAAATAAGAAAATAATTAGAATTCAATCATTAACTTTGCTATAAAATCTTTCTTTGATGAGGGAAAAATTCAATCCAAGTCAACAATGGATGGGAAAAAATGTGAAAGCAGTTTTACCAACCTCAAAGCAGTCCAATTTCTAGATATCACTGGTGTGTTTAGTGGAAACAAGCAAATGGGACTAATATGTCAAAGAGAATTCAGAATATTTGCACCGTGATTTGGAACAAAAAGTTTAAGAGAAACCAGTAAGCAAAAGGGCACACTTGTCACTGAGTGTCCGCTAGGGGCGCACCTGCAGAATCTCGATGATCTTCAGTTTGGTGTCCATCACGGTCACGTCTTCGTGCTCGGTGGGGCTGGCGGTCTTGCTGGGGTGGATGCTGGGCTGCGCATCAGGCACACTCACGGGGAAGACAGAGCCTCTGCTCAGCACCATCTGCGTCATCATCTCCCCCACCCCATGGATGGTCCTCATGACGTTGTTTCCTGGCACAAGAAATGGTCTTCCTAAGTCAGCACACACAACCCCTGGAGATGCCCAACTGTGACGTGCGCTTTCACCAAGACTAAGGAGAGGCAGTGAAGACAGGGAAGAGGAGGATCAGTCCTGCTCAGCTGTGTGTGTGCAGTGGTACTGGTGTTAAGATACTGCAGACCATTTCAAGATGACAGATTTTACAGAGGAAGTTTACTTTTCTCAGAAAATGCTTTCAAATGATGCACCAAAGGTAAACTGCTAGTACTTCTAATACACACATCAGGTCCTTCTGCAACACATGAAATCCTACCAACTACCTCTCCAATCAGCCCTAACTTTTACAACAATAAAAGAAAAAAACGTTTTAATTTCTAGGACACAGAGAGTTGCAAGTGGAGATACAAAGATTGTAGCCAAGTCCCCCCATAATGAAATTAACAAATGTCTTTTCTCTTGTAAGAGCTTTAAGCCATTCTGCAATGTTTACAAGACAATAGCTACATGAGCGCCCTGGGGGACTGAGACAAAACTCTCTGAAGCCCAGGAGTTTTAGAACAACCCAGCCACATAGTGAGAGCCTGACTCAAAAGAAACAAAAACACAAAGGTAAACAAAAAGCCCAAAGAGCACATTCTTTCCTTTAAAACTAAGAGAAAACCTAAATAAACCCTGTGTTTCACTTGCTTTTAGTGACTTTTGCTTTCATCACAGGTTTTAGAAAGCGCTTAACTAAACAGCTCAGTAACAGACTCTTGCTAGCTGTACTCATATTTCTGAGATATGGTCACCTGATTGTTTTAAGTGTTTTTAGGAATTTGGAGTTGGCTTTGATGGACTCAATCTGGTGACCCTGTCACCTGTGCTTTTACAAGTGCCCAAGAGGTGACTTTTTGTCAGAGTGGAAACCCACCTGCAGACCTTGCCAAGGTCTATTTTTGGAATAAGCGTCCTCCACAAGTCCATGATGTTCACAGAGACACACACAGACCACTGAACGCATCACCTTCCTACACCTCAGACCTGTTCCTTCCGTAAATGCCCCTAATCCTGTCATCAAGAGTTGGATTTGGATCTGGAGGTGCCCCTCCCCATGTTTCCCACCATGTGAACAAACTCTAATTTGCAAAACCCTAGTTTCGGTGATTGCCACGCTGCGTGATGAAACTGGTTTGGTGGCAAGACTGCATAAAAGGAAATGCTGAGTTCTAGCACCCCAATTCTGTACTCACACCAAGGACTTTTCAGCTTTCCTCTCCTAACAGGAAAACCCTGCCAGAGGACTTAAGAAAAAGAATATCTCATCCGGGATGAAGCCTTTATTCTCCAGTACACTTATTCACATGGAAAACCTTGCCTGAAAGTCACAAAACCAATTTTGTGTGAGATAATTACACAAATAAGTTGTGAGCAACATGACTGTGTTCAGTGGAGAGTCCCTCTCTTCCTGTACCTTCTCCTGGAGTTTGGCTTTCTGTTCATTTGTCCATTGATGGAAGTGCATGGCTTGCACCAGGGACCTCCTCCTCTCCTCCTTGCACTGTCTACTAACTGCACCCCCCTACCCCCTTCAAGGGATTTGTGCTCTCCAGCCCTGCTGCTGTTTCCCACTTCTCTGTTCCTATAACAAGCACCAGACTCCAAAAGAATGGTTGTCTGCTTCTCTTTCCAAACAGTGGTCTTGGCTTCGTGGGTGTTCATGGAACGCTGCCTGAGGCAAAGGCCTAAGAATCTGACAAAGAATGCTCCCTTCCCTATGTGGAACATGCACCCCAGAGAAGGGAACTGGAATAAGATGCGATGAGATAAAACCCTCAGCAACAAGAGAAGAAAATCCACTGTAGCAGTCCCTATGGGATTGACAGGCAAATTGTAATCAGAAGAAAACATTCAGAAGACAGCTGGAGAGAACCCGTGGTCCAGACTGCAATCCCCATTGGAGACTGCTATTACCTGTGCACTGTGAAAAGGTGACAGGCTTTCTAAATTCATTATTCCATCTATATGTGGAAGTGATTCAAGCAAAGGAGGTGGTGCCCCAACAGTACTTTAAGAAAACACAAAAGAGAAGCATTTTCTCTAAGGTGGCATATTCCAGACAAATTAAGGTGGGTTTTTATTTTGAAGGCCTGGGAACTTTTATAACATTAACACTTACATAACTAAAAAAGGGGACAAGAAAAAATACACAGAAGTAATTTCCAAGTTTAGACAAACCTGAGGCAAAAAGATTTGAGACAGTTCTCTATGTTCTATCAGAATAACCTCAAGTGGAATGCTGCGCTACCTGGGCTGTGCTTCTCAGCCACAGCCCTTAAGTCTTCCCATCCCCCACTGGGGACACACAGACTGAAAGACACACATCTGGTGACTGGCAAAGGGTTCAGTCGCTGATGTTCAATCAGTACATTTATGGACTCTTGATGCCAGTGTGCTTATGTGCTGGCCTCCAAGGGTTGTTCTCCCACTACTAATACAGAACAGGCCCCTTTGTTATTCTCACCTGATTCCCACAGAAATCTCCAGCACACACAGTGCCTGCATCTTATTTAGATTTTCATGGAAAATTATCATTTAATCCAAATGATTATTACAAAGAAAGTTAGCCCAGACAATTCTTTCTCCCAAATATAGATTCTGTCATCAAGAAATTAAGACCCAGAGTCCAGAACCATATTAACATGTAACACATGTTGCCCATGAAAGGGGAGGGCCCATTCCAGTTGTACCACATCCTTACATGCCTGTGGCACGTGGTCACTGCAAACTTCTCCTGACATTTCCATGTATGGCCAACTCAGAGGTCCCAAATTAAAAGATGCTATATTTCCTGGACTTGCTTGATGGTGATGAGAAGTACTTAAATTGTGAATGATGCAGCTTGCAAAACATAAGTCAAACACTACATAAATCACAGACATGCAGAGCTTCCCATAATCATTTTTCCATAGAAAAGTTCTAATTTTAGACTACTGAGATGAGTCAGAGGAGATCAGTCCTCAACATTGCAAAAGAAGCCTCATTCTTAACATAATTAGCAAATATTGACTTAAAACTTTTCAGGAAACTGGATTCTGTGTTATAATAGAAATTCTCTGGACAATCTAATGCCCAGAAATCCAGTTTTTCTATGTTTCATATTAACCCAGCACCCAGGATTTGGATTTATGCACAAAGTGTGCTGACAAATTTTGAAAAAGCGGGAGTCATTTTTGTTAAGTCAAAAGTCAGAAGGAAGGAACTGGTTAGGAAGAAAGGTGGGTGGACTTTTTGGGCTCTTTCCTTATATGATTTTATAGATATCCTTATTAACCCTAATTCCTCAAGAGGACAATCTAAAAGCAAGACAGAGTAATACATCTGGAACTATGACTAGGAATGGTTTGGGAAGACACTGTCCTGTTTCTTAGACTGTTCCCATGAGCCAAGTTTCTGTTTCCAACTTCAAAGAAGTGAAAGTAACAGGAATTTATGTAACACTGAAGTTTCAAAAACCAAAATTTAAATTTTCCTACTCAAAAGTCATTTTACTGCAGGGATCACTATTGTTTTCAACAATTCATAATGGTTATGCTTTTCACTGCTTATAGAAAGTAAAAGAAACTTAACAATCTTGATGGGAATTTTCATACAATTCGTTGGTGCTTTATTTTATTTGAAGTTACCTTCATGCATTATCTCTTTCTCTTATGAGCATGTAAGAAAAAAAATGACAATCTGAAATTCCCTGTTGTTTATATTTCAGATATAAATTTCTAAAACATTCCCTACTCTCATAGTAAATTAATTATTCTGTAGCTACTAAAATAAGCTCAATATTTTCTAATAATATAAGCCAAAAATGCATAATCCAAAAGTCATTTTTTATTTTCACTGAAACACATTTTTATATCTGGATCAGAATAAATACATCTGCTGTTATAACATTCATTCAAGACAGAATGATGCCAAACCAGGAAGCCATGCCTCAGGAAGTCTTCCTGCTTCCCATCCCAGATCAGGCAGGTCCTTACAAAACACCTACCCTCTCTAGGACTAGAGCGTTTTCCTATTTCAAGTTCTCTAAAGCAGTGCCTCCTCTTCTGTATGCAAAGAAAACAAAAACAAAGCCAGGATTAAGTTAGTAGTAGAAACAGTAAGAGGTAACATAGCACCTGGATTAAACAGAAGATCAAGATTTAACACCCTGAGAGGCTGGGACAACTCAGCCTGTAATTTCAGCTACTTGGAGGCAGAGATCAGGACTGTAATTCAAAAGTTTAACTCCTGAAAAGACAATTAGACAATTAGTCCTGCCAGTTCCAAGTGAGGTCACAGTGCTTTGGAGGGCTGGGCATCCAATTGCATAGGGCTTTACTCCCCATGCTGGACCTGGGGGGAATTCACTGGCCTCTGCCTGGCTTCTCTGCCTGGATACTCCCTGACTCCTTTCTGGGCTGTGGTGCAATGTCACCTCATATGCTAGACCACCTCTGGCTATCCACCTGAAAGAAGGGCTGCTGTCACTCTCAAACCACGCAACTCACTTTACATCATATGATCGATCTGTGTTATGTGCTTATCATATTCCCTCTCCTCAAAAGTAGCAAGAAAGAAACCAGCTCCAAGGAGACAGGGATCCTGACCAGTTTACTGATCTGTTTCCAACATCTGTAAGTGCCTGATGTATAACAAATGTTCATAAATAAACGCACACGTGAAAGAAAAAAGCAACATAAACAAATGAACTATTAAGAATGAAAGCCTGGTGCCAGTGGCTCACGCATGCAATCCTAGCTGTTCAGGAAGCTAAGATCAGGAGAATCATAGTTTCAGGCCAGCCTGGGCAAAAAGTAAGACCCCATCTTCAAATGAACCAGAACAAAAGAGGCTGGACACGTGACTCAAGCAGTAGAGCACCTGACTAGCAAATACAAAGTCTGGGGTTCAAACCCCACTACTGCTTTAAAAAGAAAAAAGAGAATGACTTACTTCGGAAGGCTCATGTAAAACTAGACTGCATCAGAGTAAA